AGGCAGGGGCACGAGGCACCGCGCAGCTTCGTCTTGGCGCCCATCAGAAAGACAGACTTTCCAGCAGTGAAAATCAGGATTTCCGCCAGACTGCACGGACGAGCCAACCCATGACCTCACTGGGTATCCCAAAAATGCATCCTGTTAAAAAACCCCAACCCCGAAATACGTCTAATCTCTTATTTTGCTATTACTGGGTAAAACGTATGTGGGAGTGACTTTAAAGAAAGTGAACAGAGGGGTAAGAAAAATGAAAGTGTGGTGGGGCCACACGCTCTTTAAGACTTAGGGGAAAACCTTTAAAGAGGAATTAATAATCCCTCCCCGACGTGCGCTCTCCTTGTTTCGGCGATGAGCCGTTTGAGGACCATCGTCACTGTAACAGCTAGAAAAAGCTCCTCCGATGTACTTCTGGCTATACGTCTGACCAAGCAGGGAGACTGGCAGCGGGGTATAAAAACCTTTTGCGCTGAGTTAAAGCAAATGCACAATAAAAAATAAAAACATCTTAGATGGCTCTTAATTTTCACAAAAATAAAGTTCATATAAAAATCGGTCTCTGCTCCTGGTATTTTATAAAGTACCACTCACCACAGCAGCTAGGCATAGATGCTACAGAACACTGACTTATTTGTAAAAAAAAAACTAAAATGGCGTCACCTCCCTGTGACGCTCATTTAAAAACCGGCATAGAAAAATACTCAAGAGATTTCTTTATACTAATTAAAAAAACCAAACAAGCCTCCCCTCCGGTCTAAAACAAAGCCTTTGACCCCGGAAAACCAGTCCTTTTATTTGAGTACTACTCTGTGCTCTCCTCGCGCTATGTGTGAGGAAAACTCGTATCGGTCATGGCTTCTGTACCCGCAGACGTTGCACTCGAAGGGATCGCGGAACCCGTGGCAGCCCATGTGGATGGTGAACATCACATAATCCAAAAAGAGGACGCGGCAATGGTCGCACCGGTAGACCCCGATGGCTTCCCCTTCCTTGTTGATGACCTTAAAGGCGTCGCGTGGGCATATGGCAGGCGGCTTGATTATGTCATACGGCCTTGGGAAATCCTTCAAGGACTGGAGGCCGTTGCGGGCCTGAGCAAGGAGCATCTGGCTTTGATGGAGGGCGGGATTCTGCCGCTCCTCGTGGTTGCTGTCAGTGTCTGTGGAGTCTTGGCCGCTGTTGTTTGGGGAAAGGCCTCTGTCGGAAGACAGGCTCTTGTCCCGCAGGTGGGCATGGCTCTTCTCCGCATCCTGCGAGCCGCCGTTCGGCACGTCGGCGCGGGTCAGCGGTATGGGGTACAGACCGCTTATGACGGGGGCCCTTTCGGGGGCCGGGGA